TGGGCCTCAAGTGAGGTAACTGAAAACAACAGTAGGAGGACAAATGGACAGCTTGTACCTCTAGTTTGTCACCTATGCATATAAGTGACGAAATCTTATCAACAGGTGTTTGCGAGGATAAGCTACGAGAGAGATGGTCAGGATGGTCAAATATGCACTGTGAGCAACAGCGAAATCCGATTACGACAAGCTTTTGTGGAAATTTATAATAATGCATGAAATGAACAGTGGAAAACATTAATATACGGACTTGAAGCAGATGAAAATACACGAATATACAGAAAGAGGAAAAACCACCAGTAAGAGCATTCATTTCAGAAGAAGTACGTACTTCTATCATGAACTTTCAGCTCATTTTTAACTTATGTCAGTGAGTTAATACCCCTGGTAGGCTTCAATCTCTACCTCTTCACCAGTAGAAATTGATGTGCAGTACAGAACATCACCTGTTTCGGAAGCATACAAAGCAGAGGAAAGGAGGCTAGTAAGAGCGACGGACAAAGTGCAGATAAGGCGGGTATGGTTACCAACTAAAGGTAAGTCTCAAAATGTTGCATCTCTCCGAAAAATACTAAATTTTCAAGAAAACTATTTTTTTTAAACCAGACGTAATCAGTATTATATTTAACAACCAAAATGTGGTCGGGGCGTTGTGACTGCTAACCCTAACTTGGACCTCACGAAATGCTTCCGTTAAACCAAGCGTCTCAAAGAGTTTGCTGAGGAAGCACTACTCACGATGGAAGTGTTTTCCTAAGGGAGTTCGCTAAAAGCTTTGATTCCAAACCAACGAAGAGTCGCACATCTTACCGGTTTTGTCAGCCTGATCGGACCTCGAGGTGTTTTGAGTACCCTGGGGCTTGGATCCCGTGCAAAGGGCGTATGATCCAGTGAATTGGAGGCCGACATCCAGTATTGCGGTTTTCACACTCTACACCATCACTTGGGGGATCACGCTTTGGCTGACCAAAATGCTCCAGTTAGGAATCCTCGAAAAATGTTACGTGCAGTATTTCGTCCATGAACAAGTCGTTAACCGATCTCTTTGTTATAAAGATAATTGATTAATCTGTTATGCAGTCTGGGAAAGGATACGCGTGAAGTACACTTCATGACTTGATTATTTGATGAGAAATTCCCAAAACCTATTAAATCGGACTCTAAAATTAGCAGGACGAAGAATAAGAAATCCTACTTAGACGATATTCCAATAAACTTGGCCAAAAGCGACCTTCGGCTGTTGATTGCATTGTACTCTGTGGCTGCTTCTCTTGGAAGGGTGTGTCCGACAAGTTCACTTCAATGTTGTTTGCAAAGGTGGGTAGTGGCTGTAAGGTATTCAAAGTAAAACCTAGCATAACGACGTGAAACCCCTGAACAGGGGGCTCTGACAATCTAGGTCGTGCAAGCGTCAAAGTAATCGGTGTTTAGGAACACTGCTGAGTATAGTAAGCAGATGTGTTCCTGTATCTATTACCTGTCTTAGCAACCTTAACATGACTGAATCTCCAGCTCAACCCAGATACCACTTCCAGTTATCTAGTTCACCCACCCCCACCTTTCCTTCGTTCAAATGGGCTGTCAGAAGACGAGAAAAAAAAACCCGACGCACTCAAGCGCACTACTAATGGATGCGCAATCAGAAATGAACTAAACAGCAATGTGTACCAAAAGCTGACGACTTACTTTTTGTTCCTGGAAACGACCATCCATGATACTATGAGCTAAGTCATCGGCACGTTTCCTTTCGACCAAATAGTCCAATACGGCTTCCTGGAGTTCTTCTGTTGAATAGTACCACGCAAGAACAAGAGAAATATTACACACACGTTTTTAATCATGGCCATTCACAACTTTGTCACTTGTTATCCAAAAGTGATTCCCATGTGAAACTAGATTACAATCATCCAATACAGCGTAAAACGGTGAAGCAAACTTCACTGAGCGCTGCCGAACTCATAATGCACACAAGAT